GACTTGAATTTCTACACCGACTTGTAAAGAAAAACTTCACCAACTATCGGCAATCGTGAGCTTACTTGCAAAAGATGATTAACCCCTTGCTATGATCAGCAGACCCAAATTTCGAATTACGTTGCTGATGGCCTAGCCTCTATGACCATGTCTTTCCATGTGGGATGCCTTTTAAAAGCCTAGCCTCAACCTGTATTTACACGCAGACTCAGTTGGGGTCAGTGACAATCAAATTTGAGGCTTTAAAAGACTGGAATCTTCATTACCCGATAAAACTGCCTTCACATCGACCATCTCTTAGGGCATGGACAATGCAATATTTTTTAATATACCAGGAAAGAATTTCTATTCTAATGCCCCACATGTTCATTATGTCATTAAAAGCGAGCGGCGACGCCCGGCATCCCTTGCCTCTCACCTATTGTGTCTTGAGGTTAGGATCGATCCGACGGAGGTTGGGGAATTTGCACTTATTTGTTCTTCCAAACTAGATTAGGAGGATGGGCTAGGCCCTAAAGACTGATTTAGAATAGGACTAAAGTAAAAAAATAAGGATTTAACAGTTGCACTTACATAGTGTCTCTTCACCCAACGAAATTCCATTTGGAATTTAGAAGTTGATTTTTACGGAAGGAGGAAAGCCGAGAAAAAAAGAAAAGAGGGAGAAAACCCAGAAAAATGCGCAGAAGAGAAGAAACCATGCTTTCCTTATTTTATCCAATTCATAGTTTTCTTTAGGACAGTCTCCGACGACTAATACAAACATATTTAAAAAAAAAAAAAATGGATCCACAATTTTTGGATTGATATACAGATCAGAGATATGGACTAACAGCCGTGGCGGCGGGTGAACGACAAAGAAAGACCAAACGACAGCAACACTGATGAGCAACAAGGATGACACTACCTACTCTAGAAAGGGCAACAGCACTGAAGTAAGAATACACAAAGAAAGCAGCGACTACTACGGCAAGAATGATCTAAAAGAGATGAAAAAATTTTATGGAAAYTCTATTGTGCAAAACGAATATTAACCTTGAAAACTTTGAGTTTTTAAAAATGCACACTTTATAAAGACTATTTTAAGAAACAAGACTACTATTTACCGAAAAAAAGACATAGTGTTTAGCTAGCATTAGGAATAACGTAAAACAAAATCATTCTTTGAGCCAATCGCTTGGAAATAAGATTTATTTTAAACATTCAGCGGTGTGTTAGAACTCAATGTTTCATTTTATGAAACGTTAGAAAGTTCAGGAAATAACAACCTGAAAAATAAACTCGAAGTGTTCAAGCTTCGAGTGTACTCACTGTAAAGCCAATTCTCTCATTCACGATCAATATAAGAACACGGTTAGTCTGTGTATCTCAGACGTTTATTACAACTCTGTTGTGCATTGTTTTCTTACAACTATTACATAAATAAGTCATAGCCTGTCAACTAATGATAGTCCTGCAATCCTGGCTTTGCCTGGGTCTAGTCAAAACGACACCCCTAACAACAAAATCTTTTACATTTTATGAAGCAATTCCCTAACGAACACAACGATGTTTTTAGCTATTTACATCAGGTATGGATTAGAATTTTCACGTGAACTGATATCGGTTTTATTCTTAGCATAAATAAGATGGGAGTTCATCCAAGCGTGGATTTATTGTTTATTTGGGACGTTTCGTTTCTGTTGAGAGTTTCTAGCGTTCATCAGAGCTTCCCATAGTTCTCTGTCGTCTGCGACACCATATTGTGGCTCACTTCCATACTGTCTAGAAGCCTCTCTTTCTCTGAACTCACGTCCTGCTTTGAAGAAAGCCTTGACGTCACTTGGCATTAGGACTGCGCTGACACACACGAGGAGGAGGACTAGGGCTACTCGGTTCATCTTGTGATTGGTTGATTTACGAAAGAAAKATTTTTTTCTGTAAAAGAAGAAAAGAAAAAAGTTCACCCAAGAAAATGGCTACCAGAGTTTATGTATGTTGTGTCGTGTGAGGAAGGACATGGCGAAGCAATTAATTAATGATTATATTGAATTCTTATTTTTATAATCCCAAACACAACTCGACTTTAAAGTTTGTTTAAAAAAATCTGTTTATCTGAACCGAAATTAACCTCCAAATTAGTATCCACTTAAACTTTTAGATCAGGTCAGACTGAGGTGCAGGCAGTGAGAAATCGAAAAACTTTTGCAGTAATGAACGAAAGTTAAAAATTCTAAAATGCTTAGAGACTGGCCATAAAGTAAAGGCGGTAAAGTTCCCATGCAAATGATGTACATTTTCATACTGACAGCCCACCCCTTTTAAGAAGTTCAAAATTTTGTGACCCCCCTGCCCCCCCCTTCAACCTCCCTTAACTTATGACCAGTGCATTATCTTTTAGGATCAGTTCGGTTTGATGAAATTTACGGTATTGTCTTGCTACACGTACACGGTACTACATGCCTTAACATTGAAATGGCTTCCCTTATTTTTTTTACAACTCCTTTAATCGACACTTAAGGTCAATGAAATCATGGTTCACGAATGTGTTCCGGCACCTACTAATGCAAAATCCCCTCTGGCTAAACAATCCGAAAGCCGATATTCTAGCCGCTACGCTTTCATTACTTTTAACTAACTGACCTTAAAGTGCTTTTATTATACTATCATTAAACTCCTTAGTGCAGTGTTGATCGTTAACTTTGGAAGTAGATAATGTTTCGCCTTTACTAACATATATTGGCCCTTTTATTCCTCGTTTATGACAGAACACAAAAAATAGCCCATTAAAGATGGTATTGGTACGAGTGTGAAGTAAAATAAAGGGTTTGTGACTAGTGTTCTAGATATAAACTGTGTGCTTCTGTTTTAAAAATCTTAGGTCAGTTAGCTTACGAAGAATTCGAAAAGTATATTAGCTCAAGAGATATGGTTTGTTTAATCTTGGCGTAATATTAATTATATATGACTACCCAATATAATGAATAGTTTTCACCGATTCCTCTTGCTAAACACAGTTAGCGCAGCCTTTATCGTAATAATGAGGGGACGATGGCAAATTGCATTGGAACAACTGAAGTTAACGCTGAGCAAATAGGATTTCTTAATTGCGTACCCACTAATATTCAAAATGGTAGGCAGGAGAACTGCGAATATATGAATTACTTCGCGTGCTATGTCTTTAATTTTAATCTTTTTCGTATAATTTGATAAAATCTCCAGGATTGATGAAAAAAAAGCTGAGATCAGAGGCCCTCTATATATGTTAGGCTTTAATATTATGGATATATTAGAGGTTTTTAGAGAATATAAGAATTATTTGCCACGGGTTATTTGTGTTTAATTTTAAATTATTTTAATTTGCCTTCATTATTTTCTTTTCCGAAGAAAAAAATACTTGTCAGAAAATGTGTGTGAACTGCATTATGAATCCTCAAATGTTAAATCGATCTCTGTTGCTCTGAATGCATTAATTTGCAAGGGCGGATCGATCCCTTAAATTCCATATTCAAAGTGAGTTCGACTTGTGAAATGATTTGCCAGAAACAAAGGAGTGAGCCCGAGAAAAAAATCCTTAAACTATAGGAGAATTTGCCAATTTGGAATTAATCGAATCTAGCTGTGAAGTCAAACTCTCTTCTCTTGTACGTCACGAGAATAATCTTCTATCTTTTCCTAAATGTCATAAATTTGCTGAAATTATCTGTTTCTTTAAAGAACGCTTTTTGACAATCAACATGAAAAATAAACTGATGGATACTCAGAGAATTAAGGGATGATATTAATTTTTAATGTGAATATAAGCGCGAGTTAGATTACTCTTTGCCATAAAAAATCGCCTATGAATTTTTAATATAGTAAATATAATTACTATATCACATCAATAACTGGCAAAAAAACACATCTTGTTTCATACCATTGTAAAGATATGAAAGTCTAAGTCTAAGGATAGTCAAAGTTTAATTCTTTTTAAGCTAGCTTAGCAGGCTTTATAAAAATATCCTCGTTATATGGGCGTTATACATCCTAAACTTTGCATCTCACAAGACTAGCCAATATGGAGTCAAGTCAGCAATCTGTCTTTATTAGTGAAAAACGACTCATGGCTTCGGTGCCACCAAGTCTGTGGGAACTAAAGGATATCCAGAGCTACCTAAACAAATATCGGTGTTTTTACGGTTAAAATCAGACTGTTAAGATTCATCTCCTATCTTTCAAGTGCGATAATTACATAGTGTTTGCACTATTAGCACGTGATTATTATACGTAGTCATGATTGGTTCATATACATATGGAGTAAGAAAATTCACCAATCAGAGAAAAGAAGGTGTTTACATTTCTTCATCGAAAGTCGTCAAACGAAGCAAAGTTCAGCAGTAAAATGACTCCTTTTTTCATTTGATAATTTCTTTTTTTCTGTTGTTTGTATTTGGGATAATTACTTCTCTTCGTGGCCGTCTAATTTTTCGAGGCTTCCGTAATCTTATACAGAATTGCTACAATACCCAAACACGGCTCTAGACAAGAGACGAGACGGGATTTAGCCTGTCATGAAAGTCCCTATATACACTAACTATCTCTGTATAATCCTTCTTATGAAGGCTTGACAAAACCAAGACCGCTGGCGACAGTTGAATATCGAGTCTGTTAGTATTATATTCCTTATCTCGTATATTGAGTCAAAAATCACGACATTCCAAGAAGTACTCATGTACTTTGAAACAAGTCTTAAGTGTGAGTAGAATGACTCTTTCGTGATTTACGACTAATAAATTCCCTCTCGTACCATCTTTGAAAATATAATTGTGCAAGTCCTTATCGAAAAAGAAAAAAAAAGCGAACACCAACGTGATAGTTGTTTACAGTGGCTTCTTGCGAGAGAAAGATAAAAAGAAAAAAAAAAAAGTTGCGAAAAAAAAAAAAAAAAAAAAAAAAAAAAAAATCTCCTTTCTCGTTGAATTTAATATTATAAGGTAAAATGTTTGCTAGATATATTATTCATGAAGTGTTTTTTGGTTCACTAAATTACGACGCATGTTCCGCTGTTGCGCTGTTGCGACACTTTTGCTTGCCGAGCGAGTCGTAAATTCTGTGTCATGATCAAACAAGAAGCATTTGCGATTGACTTGACCGCTCCTATCACGACTGATTAAGAACTAATTTCATTCCCCGAGTCTGATTTTAACTGTCGGTATTTAAGCTAAAATAATAACTTATTTAACTTCAAGACAAGTGCTAATTCCATAAAGAAAAGTTAAAACCCTTTGTTTATCCTTCCTCCTTTTTTATGTTACGTTTTTCTCTTTTTCCCCAGTTCTCTGTGTTTACTCACAACGCAGGATAAAAATGTAGTCCTCGAGAAAACTGAAAATTAATTTAGTCTACAAGAAAACTTTATTATTTTCTTATTCGTGTTAGGCCGGATGAAATTTGGGGCTTTTTTATCTCTCGTACGAACTGAAAAAAGGGGAGACACATTTTCAAACGCTTTTTACAATATAAAAACTGTAAACTGCTAGTCAGTAGATTATTTACGGAGAATCAAACAATCTCTTTCAAGCTTGTGGTAGTCTTGAAAGCTTTCATGATAAAATTGGAATCTAAATAAAAATCTGTGAAAGATTTTAATTCAAAAGTAAAGTAAAGTTCAGACCCTAGGCAAGTTTTAATTACTGAGGGAAAAATTGCAGGTCTTGGAATTTCATGGCCTTTACGATAATCTAATCTAAAAAGCGCGCTGCACACCGTTTTTAATTCAAAAAGAAAAATTAAGGCTTTGGACATCGACTTTTTAGCCGCTAAGAATGCAATGTTAAAATAAAAACTAATATGTAAGTCTTGAAAGTTTGTTCGTGAGTTTTTTCGATAAAAATCAAATAATGGATGCACAGTTATCGATTGAATTTTACGTTCATTTGACTTTGTTAATTGATTCAGTTACTGTTTTAGGTAGAAGGCAGTCTTTGAGTTTCGTTCATGAAGTTTTACKGTAAACCAAAATATAGTCTAATCATCTGGAGTTAAGTTATTCATGTAATGGATCAAAAATATGAAAATCGGCTGTGCGCTCTAAGCTTGTTTTTACTTTGTAACTCTTGAAAGTTGTCTTGCRCCGCACTTATAAGTTAACTTTATAGTTAACTGTATTCAGAGATGGAGGATAGCATYCCTGAACTAAAATTAAACGACCTTAAACTAAGCCGCAAAAATACGAACACAAGGGAAAAAAACAAGACTTAAAAATTTTATATAAGTTCATAGTTTGCGCAAAATCTGCAGCACGTGATCWCTTAATCAGTGAATTGGATATGGAAAGTACTGCTTGATACATACCGCTTTGATTTTGGCTGTTGAACGATCTCTGGTCCTCGCTGATGTAGAGCCGTGAATGCTTTCGCGCTACTTTTATATCGAAAAACTACTCGAGATAACGGAAGCCTTTGTACGCACAATATATCTTGATTGGCAACGAGTACTTAAGTCAGTAAGTGAAGCCTCAAAACTTCCTATGAAGAAATGGCTTTAAAAAGAATATTTCTGGAGGGCCTTAGATCGTATTGCTGACGTCTTTCAACTCGCCCAGGAATGGATTTGTAACGATATCTTAATTGCTTTGTTTTAAGCTTCTTTTCCAATCATGACAGAATGGATTTTTCTGTGTTTTTTTTTTTCTTTAATTTTTTGTCTAGCTTCAGATCCTTGACAAATGGCTTACATTTCGTAATTCCGTCGGAAGTATTCGAATCGCGAGGCCCAAGCCAATCACTTAGAAGTTCGGAACTAAAGAAAGACTWATACCTATACAAACCTTTGTTCTTTATCACAACCCAGCCTTGAAAGTATACTCCACTTCCAAGATGAAAAGACAACCAGCTTGAGTGAGTGATATCGGCGCCGTTATTTATACTATGGAAAGGGGACCGCTTATGAAAGAACATTACCATCAACATTTAAAACGTTGGATAAACTGTCCATTGCCTTGCGTCTACTCATTGGGGCTTTACTTTGATTAACCCGCCTAATGAAGTCAGACCAGAATTCTTAATCAACTTCTGGGATAAACAATTGCGGAGATCTCAAATTACCTCCAAAGATAATAAGACTTCAAAAGTGTTGATTAAATTCAAAAAAATTGCGAAACGTGGTATGAAAATTTAGCGACAAAGTTTTGAATTATTAACGAAATAATTCAAGCTGTGATAGTCCACAAATAAAAACTTACTCGCTGCTGTTGAAAATTATTTGAATCAATCATTAAAAGTTTAATGCTTGGCCGCAATAATTGATTATAGAAATCTTCGCTTGATAAACGGGGAAGAAAAAAATGCCGAATTTTGCAAAGTCCTTGAATCGTTTTATCAGTTGAGTGAGTTTATCGAGGTCGTTAAAGACTTTTAAGAAAATGTTTTAGAGATTGCATTGTTAAAGTCCTCTGCTGAAGGTTTTGATATTGAAAGATTCATTTAGTTAACGTCTTTTCGCAAGACATGAAAAAAAAAAAAAAAACTGGTTTAAAAACACGATAGAATGTTTTGGTGTGTAGTTTTATKAAACCATGCGGGCTACTGAGACAACAAGTGATACAAATAATGACTAAAACACATAAAAATAATTAAAAACCCACACAAAGTATGTGAGCTGTAACTCGAAATACATCTGGTTGCTTTGCACTTTTGCAACACTGTTTTCTCGGTGTGAAACTCAATTGTAATTACCAAAAAAGATAGACTTCTATCTAAATTAAAAAATCATAAACTCAAAATTATTTAAAGGTATTTTTGAGTGATAAAAGTAAAGAAGTCATGCAAATACTAGCGAACGAATGTAAAAAAGATAAAAAAAGGATGAAATAAATTTAAAAATCAATTGTTTTTTCGCAACATTAGAGAAACGTTTCGCCTCTGGAATTGAAAATAAGTTAAAACGTTTTAGCATATGGCTATTAATAGTAGCAAATTGCTAGAATTACGAATATTTTGAACAGGAATAAACCTTTATTACGATGATACACCTTAGTTCCGGACTACATTCCATTATTTTCGTTTTTCTTTTTGACTTTCAGTGCTTTTTATTTTTGCTTTAGTGAAAAGTGATCCGCTCTCTCTGCCAGGGAACACTTTACGCATTAGTAAACTCCGGAATAATTTTGACACATTTTAGGGATTCATGACCCTAAGTTTATCAAAAGATAAAGTGTAGCAATCATGGACGTAATTCTGTCGGAAACATTTACATCCTCTAGCAAGCTACACTACAAAAAAAAAAATTTTGTGAAAAGCGATGTGTAAACTAAGTAACATTTGGTGAAGAAAATTTATTTCAGATAAACTTCGTATACAATTTTTTTGTTGAATTGATAACAAATGGGATCGTTTCGATTTTGGATATCATTAACTCAAGGCATATCCATCGACAAGGGGTTTTTTTTTCCTTTAGTAGCTAGTTCGTTAGAAATATTGGCTCATTCGAGGTGAGCACAATCACGTACACACAGGTTATAGTGATCAAGTAAAAAGATGTCAGAGAGAACTTATCTTCAAAATCAAAGATGATTTACAGTAACGGAAATCACTAGAACTCTCCTATGGCTAACCCCCCGACTCTTTGTTCCTAAGTCCATTACATTTTCCTCCATACAACAAAATAAAAATTTCCCAAGAGAATTGGTCAATTCGAAGTTTTAATGGTTTTGTTAGGGTAGGCAGTGAATGTTATCTAGAGCGGCCGCTTCCTTCGGCGGAAATCCGTTCCTCGGGGGAAGAAAGAATTCGAACAACCTTGCATTCAAACTGATAAATAAATCCCTGCTACATTGAATGAGAATCTCATTTTATCTGAAATATCCTTTCTTTCGTTTTCATTTTTCTTTGTCTAGTGCTGTTAAGCCTCAATAAAGCCGGCTTTAGTTTGGTTGATGAAAATCACGGCTGGAATGATTGCATTCAGGAACTTTAATCTAGAAATATCTGGTGTATAAAACTATAAACTTTATT